ACTGAATAAATTACACATTTGTACTCTGATCATTTCTCTGCTGTATTCTCAGGCTTCCAACAAAAATAATCAGTCTTACACTACCATAAACCATAAGACCTGGTTAGTATCCCTTATGGAAGGGGTGGGCCTACTACATCCAGGGGGACACATCGGCCCGCCGAAGATAAGTACCGAATCGCATAAATGATTGTGAGTGCATTGATTTGGCTTTGTCCTGTAATGCCTGGCAGTGCCACCAGGTGGCGCATTAGGCGGAGTGATACATTGAGTTTTACTCTTCCCGAGCTAGTCCTGGTCTCTTTGACTCTAAACCTATGTGCCACAATGAACATGCCAAAAAAAAGAAGAAAAGTACACAGTGGGACCGAGTATTAAAACATTTTTAATACTTCACTGAAGTCCAACCAAGCGCCGCCGGCGTCTTATCTGCCAGGACACTGTTGCGGTTTTAAAGGAATGAAATGTCCGGCGTCACTTTCCCACCAAGCATGCTAATTAAGCTACCAACCAGTTGACCAGCCAGGTCAGCAAAACACCTTCAACCGACTCACCGCCATCCGAGAATCAAGTGCAAAGGCAAGTAATTTGTTGACATTCTAATTAGCAAAGAGAAGTAGCATTTTTGTGAATGGGGTTTTTCAAAGAGTTTCCTTTAGAGATGTCGGTTTTTATTTTTAGAAACAAGCAAATATGAGAAAAAAAACTGCTGGAGATTGACTAGCTACTTTGAGCTAATTGAGGTGGACTTTGCTAGCAAGCTAAACAGCAACAACAAAAAAAGTTGAGTCATTTACATTATATTTGTTGGCACAGGACAAAAGTAATGATATCAAGGACACTGCTCAGCTTTTATTTTTCATAAGAGGGATTGGTCACAACTTTGAGATAAGGAGGAGATTTTGGCTATGCAATCCCTAATTATTTTACCTTACACACTCCACCAGGATTATTATTAAATTGTTATTATTAAATTGTAACGGGGTTATTTATTTAAATAGATTATTCATTTTAGTTATCAGAGCTGGTTTGAGAATTGCAACAAATCTGACACCAGGCTTTGATGCACTGGCAAAGAAAGGGTGATCAACAACACATCTCCCACTAAAAGTGCATGTAAGTATTACAATTTTAAGGCTTTTTAATGTTTCTGATTGATATGTATGGTTCTTGTGCTGTCCCGGCCCCTCTGAAAGGCGTCTGTGGCCCCTGAACCAAAGGGTTTGCCCAGCCCTGGCTTATGGTGTCTGGTAGTCATCAGGAGTTTCCAGAGTTCTATTTGTTCCCGAGTTAACCACCAACCTTGTATGGCTAACAGGTTCCTTTGAAGATGTTCCCAAGCCCTTCCCCCAGGTTAGGGGCGGAGCCTAACATTCTAGTTGCTTGGCAACATCATCACTCTAATGCACTGTGATGTCATAGCCAAATGTTTACATCACAACATTCTGACTATGCATTACCCAAGTTCAGAACAGTTGGGACTTCTACTTGCACACAACAGTAGTACCAGTGTTGGATGAATTTGCTTAAGAAATTCTCAAAATTATTTAAGATAACCATGAACGATTATTCTGAGAAAGTAAAGAAAGGCTGTACTCCCAAGAAAGAAAAAAGTAAGGATGAATTCTGTGCAAAAAATTAAAATGAATAATTTCGATTGTAATTTTTTGTTGATTTTTGTTTCAGGATTGTAATGTGTAAACAATCCTAGTCTTAGCTTTTGAGATAATTAAGGTGTATAGTGGTAAATTTCACAATTAGCAATGAAAAGAAGTAATCTGTTATTTACTTAAGATTTAGTGTTACTTTCTTAGATTATTGCATAACAGGAGATTGTTCAACAAATGCTCAAAAATAACAAAAACTGAATGCCATGTTAACCAAACGGTAACAAATGAACGTGCAAAAAGTTTCTGCATTACACTTTTCATAAATCCTCATCATGATTATGGCTGAGTTCAAACTGCAGCTTTAAGTGACCCAACTCTGATTATTATGGAAAATCCTAATTTAGTTGTTTTCCAAATAAATGTGATATTCAGGGTGAACATCAAGTGAACCTAAACGGGTTAGGGTTGAATTTGAAAAGGATCTGATCTGTGTTGTTCACACGGTCAAGAAAAGATCGGCTACAGGTCGCATTAGGGCCAAAAAGTCAGATTTGGATCGCTTCAGGCTGCAGTGTGAACATTGTCTATGTGAGATTGTTTCAAATACTGACGACTTTGAAAAAAAACTGACGTCCTTTTTTTAAAAACTTATTTACAGAGTGCAACAGGAAAACCCAAGAAAGTACAGACCGTGTACAAGATGGCAGGAGACCAGCCGTCAAAAGAAAAGCCAGTCCTGAACCTCAGAAACCCAAAAAAAGAGCAAGGGTCTCTGAGGTGGCTGAACCTTCCACAAGTTTTCAGAAGGAGCCCAAGAAATTTCAAAATGGAAAGAGGAGAGTCACAGAAGATGGAGAGGGCCCTTCAAATCCATCCAAAAAGAGAAAACTTTTTGATAATCTATTACACGATGAGATGTCTTCTTCAGTGGACAGTGGTAGGTTTTTTAAATATTATTCATAAAAATGTGATACTTTAGAGAGTATTTACCCCGTTATTTTAAGTATAGTATTTTCTATTCTCTATATAGTATTTAATAAGAGTTTGTTTGACTGGTAATAAAATAGAAATAATAGATCATCTAAGGCCTTTTTGCTGTTAAAGTAACGGGCACATTATAAAGAATTCTTCTGTTTCTTTCCAGTCCTGTATATTTTCTTTTAATGCCTTTATTTTACTGTAAACTGTCATGAAAGGATAAAAAAAACATGCAAATATTTTTGTGGATCATTTTTATTCACAGGAACCAGGAGCACAAACTCGCCTGTTTGTA